ATATGTAGTGTATGTATATATTCAAAAACAGTTATTCGCGTGCAGTTGGTGTGTTTTGGGTATTCAATGTTACGTACTATCACCATTCCAATGTCCTGACATCATGCGATGATTGCAATAGAAATGTTTCCCATGGTTTGGAACTTTTGATATATTGTGTTTTGATCGTGAATACAAACGTAAACATAAAAGTATGTTAACATAGTTTACACAGAGTCCATGGAAGACTGTTTGTTATATGGGGTAGACAGCTGTCTGTATCAATTTTTCCTTTTAGAACGTCTTTCCCGTTGGTGCAAAGTGTTGTATATGTTCTGCCATAGATAAGTTCACACCTGCATGAATTCGCGTTAATTTGCATTCATTTCTTCATTGCAGGGTGTGTTATTGGCGGGCCAAGTCGTTGACCTGAAGGAACAAATCGATAGTAAATTCGTCGATTTGAGAAAACAGTCTATCGCGGTATCCGTGAGGAGGAAAGAACAAGTAAGCGTCTTTTCACGTACCTTAATGTGCCTCCTTATTTTAAATTCTTTGTATCATATACGGTGTCGTCGGGCGTTCGGATATTTTATATCGTTTCGGTGGCGCACGTGTTTGCTTATTTTGTATCTGGTCGGCGTCGCACTGGAAGTTGAGTGATATATATACGTAGTTCAGCATCTCAGAAACGTGCAACAACAGCACGCACAGAAACAAGCAGTCACTGCACGGCATATCACCACCTCCACATCACGTTGCTAAATCGTTCATTAAGTATATCTATCGTGTGACGAGTTGGTTTGACCTCGATATAAGGTTTGCTCGAAATCCGCCTACTCCCAGCCTCACCATCTCATCTCAACTCTGTCGAATCATGTGTAGGTCGCACTAGTCAAAGAACAGGAGAAAACTAAAGTGGTCGAATATGCACAGCAGAAACTGGACATGGAGGCAGCTATCACTGCGCTGTCTGGTTTATAAACCGCGAATTACAAGAAAAGGAAGGCAATCTACATGCACTATATGTACATGTGTGACAACCGGGAGAGGTATCTGTTACACGGCAGACAGTTAACAGGACGCTCCCACGGGCGGGCAATCGTCAGCATCTGGCTCGATATGTCTTGTGATTAACCCCAATATATGAAAGCTACATGCGTATTACTGGAGATAGAAGTATTACTGTGAAGATATAGTCGGCATCGGGCCTATCACAATCTAATGGTTTTTAGGTCAAGCTGAAGAAATTACAAGCAATGTACACCCAGCGCCAGGGTAGTCCTTCGTACCCAGATGAATAGTCTCGAGTAGATGGCACTCAATGAGCACAAATCTAGTGATCTTGAAGGCAGTACTACGTCGCACCGTAGCTTGGCCCTAGCGGTATTCAACAGGAGGATGGTATACCTGTGCACCTTCTGCTATATATGGAATCCATCGTGGATGGCTGTGTTGTCAATTCAATTGTAGCGTGTTGAAGCACCCGCGGGCTTTGGCATAGTGGAAGCCAGATACCCTCTATGGATATGTATCCATCTTTAGATTACGAGAGTGGTACGATAGGAGACGCACGGTGACAGTGCTACAGTCGGTGCCTCTATTCGGTGAGAATTAAACACACCAATAAATTTTAAGATTTATTGTCTTCTCAAATCGTCCACATTATTTATCAGTGTACGATATGAGATGTACACTGAAAAAATATAACTATCTGATACAGAATCTGTAGAATATCTTCGAAGCGTAGCTATTTATTCTGAAGACCGGGCACATAAACATATCCCGAATACTTAAATACCAACTCTATTGTCTGTGGAACCATACAATTTGATAAAATAAAGACGGCAACAATTATCTGCACCGTACGAAGATACAAGCAAGCGACCCTCTCGGGCCTCTCTCCTCTACCCTCTGGAGTCTGGCCTCTCATCTCTTATTGCTATGTTAAAAAAAAGATACTCTATAAACTTTCGTGTATGCGCAGTCCATACTCATCAGTTGTTTTGGTGTTTGGTAAAAAACAAAAACATTTTTTTTTTACCAAAGCTATTTAAAAAAAAAAAGTTTCATTTTCCATTTCGTTCCAATACAAAAGTGTTTAAAATATTCACTAAAAATAGTATAGAGTATGTATGTAAATAACTAAATAGAGTACTTATTTACGACTCTCCAACTTCCAAGTCTCCCCCTCCCCCCAGGGACTGGGAGTAAGTAGATTTGTCCGTGGAGCGTGGAGCATGGTTACGGGTTCCCAATTTCACACTTTCAGTTTCAAAGTAAAATAAAAATTTCACATCCATTTCATTTGGGTTGTTTTTAAAAAATAAAATAAAATAAATAAAATAAAATAAAGCAAATGTCTATGTATGTCTGTAAAAATCATATGTACATACTTTAAATAGTCTTTTTCGGGCCTCGGCCCCCCCAGCCTCGGTCCACTGGGCTCTGGCGATCTAGCCTCTATTTATCTTTATTTATACATCTGATATATAAATACAATAAACAATAGTTGTTTTAAAACAAAAACAATTGGGAAACTTCAAAGTTCCAAGTTCCAACTCTGAAAGAGTGAAACTCAAAGGACTGGGCGACTCAACGACAGGCGTCCGAAGGTGGCTATTTAAATTTTTTTAATGTCTGGAGTCGGGGCTAGCTTGGACTTACCTCTGGGTTCCCGCTGAGGGCTCAGGCCTGAGGATCAGTGATTTGCCACAGGCCCAGTCCGCCCTGCTCAGGAGTCTACTTCAGGAAGCAGCAGGACTCTCGGAATCTCGGGGCGGGAAGGGAAGGAATCGGCTCAGTCGGGTGCGAACTGCGAAGACTATTTCACAATTTTGTAAAAAAAACAGTAAACACTCTTCTCGAAATCTTCAAATCTGTCGACTTTCAACTTGTCCAGACTCAAGTGTCAACATCACGAAATTTATAATTATTTATAAAAAACAAACAAACTCACTCTTCACTCCCTCGGCCTCTTGTGCAATGCAATTTCTGAACTCCTTCGTAGTAGATATATCATATATAGATACTCTCATCAATATCAGAGTTTCTTCTAAATACTGAAAGAGTGGGAGAAGACATAAATAAATTTGACGATTTCCTTGACCTTCTACTGTCTCGCACTCTCGCGTAGACGGAGATATTAAACGTTCAAGCATTTAAAAAAAACAGTAAATATCGAATATCGAAAGCTCATCCGCGTTATCAACCACTTTGTGAGATACACATCGTAAACGTATAAACATATAAAGCAGAAGCCCTTGACAATAACTGCCACAAAAAAAAATCAACTAAGCACAAACAATCATGGGTATATCAGCTATTAGAAATTTAGTTTTACTAGCTTCAGTGACCTACACATGTACAGCTCGGCCACAATATAGACGAGACAACAACGGTCACCTTCAGATACTTGATATGGATTACAGCGGCTACAAAGCAGGTGATGAGCCCGACGCATCACTAGACTTTGCTGCGTTGCAGGACGGATGTTTCGGTGCGATTCGCAACGGTGATAATTGTGTAGATACAAAGCCCAATGATTCTAGAGTACAAGCCAATCCAGAGAACTCAAACGATAATGTTATGGAAATACAGATGCGTGCAGGTACGTATGGTGCAGAACAGAAACATGCAGGAAGTCAATTTTACTCCAGTCAACTGGAGGAATTGCCTGGTTTATTAGCTGCAACACTCGAATACGAAGTATATTTCCCCAAGGACTTCGAATGGACTCTCGGGGGTAAGCTTCCAGGTATGCACGGTGGTTCAAGAAAGTGCAGTGGAGGTTATTTCGCTCAAGGTGATGACTGCTTCAGCACACGACTTATGTGGCGTGCAGATGGCGACGCAGAGGCCTACATGTATATCCCAATGGCTTTACAGACTGAGGATCTATGCAGCAAGTGTTCAGGTTATCCTTCCGGAACCAAGTGCAAAGATATCTCGCACTGTTCGCTTAATAGAGGGGCTTTCTCATTCAATGCTGGCAAATGGAATAAGATCAAACAGCAAATCTGGTTGAATGAAGCGGGTTCCAGTGATGGTTGGTTTGGATTATATCATGACAATAACAAAGTGATGGTTGAGGACATTACATACCGATCGAGTGACAAAGTGCCATTGTCTGGTCTTTACTTCTCCAGCTTCTTCGGTGGAGACGGCGAAAAGTACGCACCCGCACATGATCAAACACTCAACTTCAGGGGCATCAAGCTGACAGCTGGCATAGTATAATTATAACGACTATTGAAATAATTTAAAAGTATTATTACCGTTCATCTAATCCATCATATAGTATTGTGATACCAGTTTATTGCGTTTTCCTGGATCCAACTAATCGTAAACGAATGCATGGAACAATCGAGTCTGTATGTGGTGATAATACTACTAGTCCAGTATATTAACAACCAAATAGTCAACTACTTTGGCTATTGGCTGTTGTAAGATCTACGAACAGCTTTGGTCGAGGTCAGGCTCATCAACAACCAATAGGTAGTCAGTCACGTTAACTGTTGTCTATTATGAGAGATGATAATTACTTTAATCGAGGTCAACATCTTGGAATCACCTCCTTGGATTCTGTAACATCTTCGTCAACATCTTTACACTCTCTACTAGAGCGGCATTGTGAATTGTTCACAGAATTTGCAATTTTTCACACATGGCCCATTCGACAACCCTGACGAACCCAAAAGTTTTTTGTCAATAAAACAGTCCCGACTCCTCAGAGGGCTCAGACATCAGACCTCACAGTACAGAGGCTCATCAAACGGTCAGCCTCAGGTGCTCGCCGCTCACAGGCCTGAGAGCCCTGAGGCCTTATTTAGACTATACAGGCTCAGGCTTCAGAGTCTCAGACCCCAGGCCCAGGGCCCAGGGCACCAGGTGCCAGGTGGCAGGCCGCAGGCACTGGGCAGGCTGGAGGGTTGGGAGGGTTCGCCAATCGCCAATTCGCCAGAGCCCAGAGGCAGTTTGCCGAACTGCAAAATATTTAATACAAAAAAAAGTCTGATTTTGATTGTAGAAGGCAATGTATTAATATGTAAATATGAGTAAATGACAAAACTAATTAGTGATAAATAACTGTTGACTTGATGAGAGTACATACGATTGCTCTTTGCTTTAAAAAAAACTATACGAAGTGTTCTATTTTTGGAATATGCCAATAATAACCTATGTAGACCTCCTGAGGCTCCTATGCACAAAGTGGCTACATTATATGATTATACATACTGCATTCACGAAATCCAATCGCCGATAGATGAGAGTTATCATAGCCTTCTAAATTAGACAGTTATATTTATATACGCTCAGTCGTCCAGTGATGTAATGCCTTGTAGCATTGTCCCGCTGTATGTATGTCGAGTTGCTGGCGCCGACGAATAGTCAATGTACTCTATCAATTATATATGTACATCAAGCTGCTGGGCACGGTCTTTTTACGGAAAGACATGTCGCGACGGCTTTATTGAGGTTGAAATAGTACGATATGATGTAATCAGTATTCAACAATGACCCGTTGAATGCTGAGGTCGACTAATATCGAATACACACGAGAAGACAGAAACGAACCCGTATGCTGACGAGTTTCTGAACTTCCATCCACTTTTCTGGACACATCAAGATTATACCCTTTTTTTCAGTACCTCTGCCAGGCTCTAGACGAGATTCTCCAGTGTGTCATGTCAGTTTTAGTCTTGCGACAGTATGCTCACAAGTCTCGCAGACCATTGCAAATCAAAGAAAAAGCTGATCGCACTGAGATTGTCTTAAATCACTTTAGAATTGATTGCCCGTATAGCGGACACGCCCACCCCTCAAAAGTGTGGCGAATTGAACATGACTACTACTACTCACCAACAAAACTTTCTATCTCTTATACAAGATACGGCATAGTAGCATGCGATTTGCTCACTATGAGCTCGACGTTGTGTAAGTAGACAAATGGCACAAAAAGTCCAAATTACTTCAATGCACAAAAGTATTCATCTCTCTAAGCACTATGTAGTACGCAACATTCTTATTCGAAGAGGTGAAATATATCTGTACAGATTGATACGAAGCGAAGTTTTCCATTCTTTCAATTAATCTTTATTATCCAATTGATGTATCTGATTTAAGCACGCTTGGCTTTTGAACTGCTGCTCTGGAAGCCAAGATATGGCAGGACAACGATCAACGCACTGCACGCACCGTACAGCAACCAGGGTCTCTGTATATATAAAATGGAAATTCCATGATGGGTCAGGCAGCTGTAGCATAACAATATATGATATTTTCATTTCTAGAATAAGTGGAATATATGCAGATCAATTTTTAATAACTCTTACATGTACTTATTAGAACGGAAACATTCAGTACAAAACATAGTGTAGCAATGTGCTTAATCTTATATATGGCAGGGTGGACAGAACAGTATAGTTAGAGCTCTGAGAGCTTGGCACTTCCAATCTAGCGATAAATCTTCACAGAGTAATGCATACGCACATATTTATGTACAAACAGCGAAGAAACAGCGCCGCTATGAAAACACACATATACACATACATCACAACATGAAGGGCGATATAGTGTATGCTCATGATAGGATCTGACATACCATCTGCAGGGTGTACAATCTCTCGTACTCGGCATTGGACTGCACCTTAACAGGTCCCGGTGCGCTCGTTTTGGACAGAACAAGCTGCAATGCAAGTTTTGGTACAGAGTGTCGAGTGAGTGGTCTCAAATTTCATGTGCAGAGTTTGGGATGTGTGCGAGTATTTGGAAAGCGTGAGCGGTGTGTGATTACGTCCCCGATGTACCGAGTTTTGCATATATGTGGCTTTCCTGTTGACTGTACCAGCTTTCCTGTTGACTATACCAGGGTGTGGGACTATATAAAAAGGGTTGGGACTATATACAAAGATACCAGTATGTTAAAACAGTGGAATAAATGACATGTCACAGCCAAGATATTCAACGGTTTCCAATATACAATAAAAAACACGCTACCAATACAAGGTACTGCGAGGAATGCGGGTTGGTATGTGCACCACACAGCCACGCACTTGTGATTGCACAGCTTGTGCGCGCTCCTCATCAGATGGCTCCCCACTCTGTACCAAGTATTTGTTCGCGCTCGCACAACTGCGATACTTTTAAAACAACGGACGTGTGCGAAGGCGACATGCAGTGATTGCCTGCGCCTCGTCTACACACCGAGTCACAGTTGACAGGCAATGTACATGCACAAATTATATATACACACATAGTGGCATATTTATGCCTTAAGTGATACTCGAAGTATTCATATAATATCCAGTTAGGGTCGCTTGCGACAGTGTCACTGGTAGACCGTTATATACAGATAGCATACACAGGTGAACTCACAGACAATGTATGTAGGAAGTGGGGTCGACCGTACCTTCTTGCCGTTTTTGTAGGTGAAGTCGGTGGCATTTAGTGTGTTAGTCTTTCCAACCTTGCCCAACTGGTAGATCAACGCATGGGTGACATTCTCTCCGCTGCAAGTACAGATAAGAAACTGGGTTGGTACCATGAAACTACCTACAAAAAAGTCAAACCGATAGTCTCATAATTTGATACTCAGGCAGTTTAAGCACCAAGGTATGTAACTCTCGCGACTTAGACATTCTATGGCCTCCACGCCGGCAGAATGACATAAAACTGAAGCGTCATTGAAAAGCGAGCAAAGTTTTTGATTCCATAATCGCGATACAAAGGGTACGTCAATTGCGCTCCCGGTTGGACACGTGAATAGAATTCAGGTTCCGGGTAAAAAAGATGTCTGTGATATAGGAAGAAAAGTGCACGACGTCTCACATTCATTTATTAAAGAAATAGAAACGGATTTGCACTTGGGGACGAAGAATCAATACTTCATCTTCCCCGACACCAACCGCAATACACATAAATATAACACGCCATTCCTAATGTCGACACCAACCAAAATACACAAAAATATATCACGCCATTCCTATTGTCGACACCAACCGAAATACACAGAAATATAACACGCCTTTTCTAATGTCGATTCATAATAGACCTTTTGTTTATCAATCTGCCATACAGACAGATGCCAGGGTACACCGCATAAATTAAGAACGGGCCTACAATTGTCTTGATATACAAATATCAAGATGAGAACTAAACTTTTCGTATATACGCTCATTCAAAGGAGTATAGATACATGCGTACGTACATTCATGCGTACGTACATTCATGCACAGATATGACCAGACAGGAAGATATAACCCTCAAAATATACTCAATACTTACGGCTGAATAAAGGGGATCTGGAAGCCAGTCGATAGTCCATTCTTCAGTGGCCAGTCAATGAAGGTATCAGGGGATTCTACGCGGATATCGGTGGCAATTCTGTGGCATTTCCAACGCAATTTAGTAAAGACACGCGAGAGAAAGAAGACAACATATGAACAAGTAGTCGAGGATGAAAGTGACAGCAAAAGTACTCACCTGGTTAGGATTATTTAAGATGATAATTCCTCAATAAAGTTGGCTATCTTTAATGTTGATATGGTGTGGATAACAAATTGAACTCGCTAGCGGTACAGATATATCATCACAAAACTTTATAGGAATGTTAAGGTCCCAATATTTACCTTTGTACAATCTAATGATCTTGCCTTTAATCTTGAGCACGGTTCGTTATGGTGACTCTGCAAAGCGTATGCATATTACCGGGAAATGTGATCTACAACAACAACAACTCCCAAAACAGCATTGCCAGCTTCCATTGTCCCGCCCCCCCCCCCTCCCTCCACACGGGTATTCAAATATGAGTATGAGGAATACGTCGATGCAATACTATCACGAGACGGACAATGATTGTTTAAATTTATTCAGTATATCTGCAATGGCATTCAGCGCTCATACCAGGAGATTGAGAAATACGTGTACGTCCAAGTATACGCGGTATATGGAGATATAATAATATATATGTGTGATCGTACTATATATGACAGTCTGTTCAAACAACATAGTACGTAAGAAGACCATATTAAATCATAGCGCCATGTTGTAGGTGCTTATATACACTTGCATAACTTACTTCAGGGTTTAGCGATACACTCGTGTCATACTGTATCCTAGGCACGGATTATTGCAGTTTCCAAAATGGGGAGTAACCTTCACGAGATGGGAGTATATGCAGACCCACATACAAACATTTAGACTATCATACGCCACCAGCGTACTGTGTGAACCTGATTGTGACAATGGCTGATCTATATCTGACCGTCTCACAACCAGAGCTCAGGTAAGGCCGCACTTTAGTTAAACATACATACACATACATACATACATATATAGATACATACATATACATACTTACCCAGTACACAAACAAAGGCATGCGTACTTGTGTGAGTATGAATATACATTGACATATATTTGTTAAGCCAGTATACTCTCGAAAACCACTGCCAAACGGGTTTGTGAAAAGAAGTCCACCACGATGATTCCGGGAAACTGTTCGAAACGCATAAACACAAAAAAAATACATCGACACACACACACACACACACAATATATATATATATATATATATATATGCCCGGCATGCTGAGATATTCTATAGTAAAGAAGGATCCGACTATCCAACATCATACTATTGTTGGGATATCCTGTATACCATAATTTTTCCGTATCGGAACTCTTTCTGCTAGATACCACATCGAGCTCACACTATATATATCAAAGCACGGCTACATACCCATCGCCAACGTTGTAGAAGTTGTAGAGAACGGTGAGGTCCTTGTCTTCCACAGCCATCCTATTTCCGATAGTCTTCATAGCTAGTACACGTGCACCACCCTTCTCTAGGCGGCTATCCAATCCCTGCCCACTCACCATACAGGCGAACACCCCCAGGGCTAGCAGCACGGTTTGCATGATAAAACTCATTCTGCCTTTAATTGTATTTTGAGGGTAAATGTGGTAACTAAACGAATGTGTGTCAATCCCTGCCAACTGGTATATATAAACTATAAAATGTATGCACATGTATGTATATATGTAAATGGACATACACATATATGTCTACTACAAACACAAATTATATATATATATATATATATATATATATATATAATAAACTAAATAAATAAATAAATAAATATATATATATATGCGTATATATATATATATATATATATATATAGACATACACGTAAACATATATTTGCAATTAATTCTGCATGCATACCATCCAACACACAAACACGTGTACACACATAGAGATAGATACCAATAAAATTCAATTACACATACACACACACACACACACACACATATATATATAATATATGTTCATCTATCAAGCTATATATCCATATCCATTTATATATATATATATATATATATATATCTATATATACATATACATATATACATACACACACACACACACACACACAC